TCATTCTCTCATTTATTCATTCATTTATACTCACTCATTCATTCACTTATATTCACTCATTCATTCATTCATATTCACTCATTCATTCTTCTATATGTAGACAGCTAATCTGAGCAGTATGAACAATTCTGGACCTTAACTTTCAGTCAGCCTGCCAACAATTAAGCAGCCTTAACTATTTTAAGCAAGCTGAGCCTCGGCAATTTTTTCTTTTTGACATTTCACAAATTTCACACCTTCTCTGAGCCATCACTAATCATAAGAGTTGGGAGCTGTCAGAAATCTGGAGGCAGTGAAGACGGTGGCTGGAGATCTTGAGCCAGATTTAGACACTAGCAGAGTGAATTCTCGTGGTTACTTCAGGTTTCTGAGTTTCCTTTGTTGGAACGAGGAGAAGGCTTGCACATGTGGATTGGTGGGCGGGTTTCTTTCTTTTCTTTTCTTTTCTTTTCTTTTCTTTTTTCCCCAGAAAAGCCACCTATCTCCCTCGGGGTGCCTCCAATTTCTGTGTGCATGGCTCATATAAGACAGCCCAGATGGTGGGGGCTGGAGACATGGCTGTGTGATTAAGAGTACATACTGTTCTTTCTGAGGACCCAAGTTTGGTTCCCAGAATCCCAAGACGGGCAGCTCATAAGTGCCTGTAACTCCAGCTCCAATGGATCCAACGCCCTCTTCTGGACACCTTGGGTACTGCACTCTCATGCACAACCCTCCCCCTCTGCAAACACATAATTAAAAATAAAATTTCTTTAAAAAGGACAGACTATATGGACTTCAGGTTTATGTATATGTCTTACCTTTTTAGGCTGGGATCTGGGTAGGGGTTGTGTCTTGGTCTTTTTGGCAAAGCTATGCACACACATGCAGCGTTCTCCGAGGGCTCTTACTGAGCAATGTGCTGTGACTTGGGATCTGAAATAGTTCCCACAGGCTCGTGCCTCGAGTGCTTATTCTCCATCTTATGACCCTGTTTCAAAGGTTTCGGTAGTAGGCCTCTAGGGGCAGGCCTCTGAGGAGTGTGTTTGCTCTGGTTCTGGGCAGTCATCTCTGTTTCCTGGTCCACACTATAATGAAGCCACCACTGGGGACAGAGGTGACCCAATTCACATACCTTTCCTGCCACGATGAACTAACTGGAACTGTGGACCATAGTGAATTTCCTTCTTGCGAGCCATCTTTGTCATACATATTGTCACGCTAACAAGAAGGTAGTTAATACAGAATGCTCTATTAGCTTCTACTTCCAAGCACATTGCGACTGCATCCGACTTGTTGGCCTGGGCTATGGCAGTGGTGCCACCATTGAAGAGGAAGTCGGCCTCAGTGATGAAAGGTGCTTCCGAGTTTTACCAGCATTTGTGCTCTGTAAGGTAGAGGGAAAGCTGTCCCTGCTTCTCTATATGGTGGTGAGGTTCAATGCCAAGCTACAGTATATGCCAATAAATGGGAGCTCATCACTTTCACCACCACCATCATCATCACCATCATAATCATAATCACCACCATCATCATCATCACCTTCATCACCATCACCACCACCATCATCATCACCTTCACCACCATCACCATCATCATCACCACCATCATCATCATCACCACCACCACCATCATCATCACCACTACCATCACCATCATCACCATCACCACTATCATCATCATCACCATTATCATCATCATTACCATCATCATCACCACCATCATCATCACCATCACCACCATCATCACCATCATCATCACCACCAACCCCACCACCATCATCAGCAGCAGCACTAGAAGCAATAAGACAGACCATTTGGCCTGGAGCTTGCCGATTTGGCTAAGCTGGTTGGCCAGTCAGCTCTGAGGTCCCCCTGTCTCTGCCTCCCCAGTGTCGAGATCACAGGTGTGTACCACAGCTGTGCTGAGCTCTCTACAGGGCCACTCAACAGTCACGTTAATCAACTGAGCCGTCTCCCAGCCACAACACGCGGGTTAGGCATATGCACGGGTTTCAAGAGACCCCAATTTAGGGCCTGCAGATCCATCTTCTGGAACACGGACGCCACTATGAATATGTGATAGCACCAGGTGCTCAAAGGCCCCAGTACCTAGCTCAGGAATGTGCTGCAAGCTCACACTTACCACAACCAGAAAATGGGAACACAGGCACTCCCCACATCTCTGAGTGGTCAACTTCCAACCCCCCGGGCTTTCTCCACGCCCCTCGGCAGAAGGTAGAGGGCAGTAAATAGAGACTGGATGGAGGGCCACCAACACCAGTGGGACATTTCACACGGCAGCAGCAAGAGTAGAGCTGAGCTGATGGAGGGAGGACTGTCCTTGCTGTCTGAGGTTTATTTTCTGGATCGTAAGAACACAGAGAGTTGCCTCTGCTTGAGAATTAGGTAAGACCTGGGCATCCTGAGCATCTGCTGCTGCACGGGAAACCTTCCTCTCATCTGTTTCCTTCAGGCCTCGGGGAATTAGGCAGGCGTGCCCTACCCAGATGGTGTATACCTTTGGGAAAGGGACGCCAACAGGTGACCTCATCTCTGGGGGTACCCCGAGGCTACCTCTCAGTCAGCTGTGGGGATGAGGAAACACGTCTGAACCCACACCAGGGTACTTGTGTCCTCACGTTCAGTTCAGCCAGAGACTCCGGTCCATGCCAACCTTCTTCCGATCCTCACATGTCCTTTGCCTGTCTTTGGACCTTAGCCCACGCTGCTCTTTCTACTTGAGCAACTCCTTTCTTCGTCTGATTTCTTGCCTCTCCTAAAAGCTACCCCAGAGTCAGTATCCCGTCTTCCCTTAACCCCTTATGATGCGCGGTGTGGGGCATGTCTCCAGTGAGAACCCACACTGTGGTACGTGTCCCCTTCATAGCACATGCCATACTGGCTGGTTAACAGAAAGTGCAGTCTCTGCCCTCAGCCCAGCTGAGCTCTGCTGGGAATGGGATCTGCACCGTCTGTCTCCCTCCACTGTCTTCTGGCATTGACCGTGGCAGCCGGCATACGGGACGCTCAATATATGGTTGAGTGGAGCCGAACCTCTTGTCCCCTCTAAGGGTGGGAAGAAATAGGAACCATGTAAATTCGTACCATGGGTCAAGATCAAGAAGAGAAGCTCGGGGCAAGCTGGAGCATTCATGAGGCAAAAAAAAAGTAAGACAAGACAAAGCAAAACCACTGTTTCAACAGGGGAGACATCGCTAGAATGTCAAGGCTTTCTAGGAAGGTGGAGAAACGGCCAGACAGAAGGAAGACACTAAGAGGTGACCTGTTGAACACCCCTGCTGGGTCCCAGGACTCTTTGTGCTGTGTGCTTGCTGGGTCTCACGGCGGTTCCTCAAGACGATGTGTTGGTACTCAGGGCTTGACGACTCATTAAACTGTTGCTGGAACTAGCGAGAAAAAGCTTCCGGAGGGTTCTACCGATTTGCCAGGCACCTCGTTTTATCGTGCAATAAATGACTTAATAGTTAGCAGCATGGCTGGCCTGAGGTGTCCAGGTTCATCAGCATGGAGGTGTGTAGTTTCTAGGGCTTTCTTCAGGACCGTCAGACCATCCTAGAGACTCCTACGTTTGTTTCATAGGCTATCTTGGGAGGCCCCTTCTGTGGCTTTTCCAGTGATCTCTAGAGCAGTTCACCTGGCCAAATTATGGCCTTTCAGACTTATGTTCCAGGTCGCCCTTGTGTTCTGTCAGCAAAGGAGGAGCCCCCTTCCCCCGCCCCCTTTTCTCCACATGTAGCCAAGCCAGCTGCTGCACTGGGGTTTGACTTGCACTGACCCCTTGGGAAGTGCAGGCACCAAGAGCTTCAAGGTCTGTCCCATTATGTGGATGACATGGCCATTAGTAACCATGGCAACCTCCCTTCCCTGCCTTTCGTGGCTCCACAGGTCTAACTGTGCACGGGTCTTGTCCAGACTTGAAGGGGTTACTGGGGCTTAAACCTTCCCTGAGCCACACAAGGCAAATGAGGAGAATTTCCAAAGCCTTTCAGGTCTAAAGAAACAACCTCGAATCTCCAATCCAGTGAACTTGAAACAAAACAAAAGAGAAAAAAGAAAGACACACCCCTTCCTTCTCTCTCTCTCTCTCTCTCTCTCTCTCTCTCTCTCTCTCTCTCTCTCTCTCTCTCTCTCTCTTTCTTTCTCTCCCAACTGTGACCATAATATACACACAGAGGGTGTGTTGGACTAACAGTTTGACAGGACTCAAGTATGAACAGGCCCAGAGGCTGGTATCCAAACAGGTCCAGGCAGCAGGGCATCCCCTCTGAGAACAGCCTTACAAATAAGGGTACAGGACTACTAGGCCCTGTTTATTTCTTCCTGTTGTCAAAGAACCTTGAAAAAGGACCTACTTGCCACACAAAAGGAACGGACAAGGGTATGTAAGGTAGTGCAGAGACAAATGAGTGCCCCCAACCATTCCTTCATGTATCCATATTTCAAAGCATACTGTACTCGACAGAGGCACATGATAAACACAGGCCGAATATCCTGAATCTGAATCTCTACACTATTAAACGCTTCAACATCTGGAACCTTCCTACTATTTTGTGAGGAGGGAATACCACACCGAGAAATGATGTTTCAAGCATGCACAAAATGATGAAAAATATTGCATCGGCGTTACCTTTGGTCTCTGTGTATAATGTAAACTTGAAACATAAATATTTTCAGATTCAAAGTTGGGGCCCAGCCCCCAGCACACCCCATCCTATGTGCAAATGTTCCAAATTCTGAAGAAAAAACAAAACAAAACCCTGAAATCTGAAGTGCTCTAGTCTTTGGTGTTTCTGATGAGAAATACTTGGATATACCATGCCAGCGACATATCTGGTTGAGCCGGATGATTTGTGGCAACATATATGGACAATTAACGCATTAATAAAACGAAGTACATCGTCTGAGTCACCACCTTGGAACCCGCCGTCTATATGAATCTGCCAGTTAAGAAAGGAAATCCACACTCCCCCCTCCTCTGGAGTAAACAGACAGAGTTACCTGTCTAGGCATGGCCAGCCTCCGCAGGGGCGCTGTCGGAGTCGGAGTCGGCCCTGTCCGATGTACCTTCTGCTACTCTCTGACTCCAGGTTCCCCACTTCTCTGAGATGGCGTCTTCCTCTCCAACCGTCACCTCCACAAAGCCCACAATGCCCGACTCCTCGTTTTCCTCACTGCCCTGGCCGTCTCGGCTGCTGCCCTCTGATCTGTCTGAGGGGGCCTCTGAGGGCTTGGCTGCCAAACAGTCCTTGGCCTGCTCGGTACCCACTTTCACCCTGGGGACCAGCTTGCCGGAGTCCTCCTCCTCGCAGAAGGCTTTGGGGTCCTTGGCATAGTGCTGAGCTGCCTCGCTTCCATTCTTTGGGCTCCCAGCCACTTGTTTCCCCATTTTCCTTGAAACAGCATCGTGGCCGTGGTCATCTGACAGGTGATGCTGTTGGTACTGCTCCAGCCAACTCAAGGTTCCAGTTTTTAGCAAGCATCTGTTCTCCTTGAACCAGCGCACAATCTCAGTTCGGACCAGCCCGGTCTTGGCGGCTAACTGGTCGTACTCCTGAGGAGTGGGCCACTGGGTTCTCGCGAAAGTACTCCTTAGCAGGTGAACCTGTTCTTGATTCTGTATAATTGCCGATGAAGGGCTGGGCAAGGGGCCAGCTAACGGGGCACCGGAGAGCTGGTCGAGTCGAGACAGAGCACCATTGGGGGCTACCACATCGGAGCCCTTTTTGCCGGATCCCATGGAATCCAAGACGGCCTGCTCCATGCTGTCTCGGAGCTTGCGCCTGTCGGAGAACCAGGAGTGGATTTCCCTCCTGCTCAGCTTGGTCTCTACCCTCAGCCTTTCCACTTCCGCCTGGGAGGGGAAGGAGCTCTTCAGAAAGCTGTCTTCCAGAGTCTTCAGCTGTCCCTGGCTTTTTTCTTTGAACTTCGGGGGTGCAAAGTCTGGGTAGACGTGATGGGTGCGGCCGTGCCGGGTGCCTGTGATGGCCATCTGGTCTTTGGCAAGGGACTCGCTGGTGATGTGTACAATGCCCCTCTGACACCGGTACCGATGGTCACTGAACCACTTTTTGATTTCGCTCCTGGCAAGGCCCGTCACCTCGATGAGCCGGTAGACCTCGGCGTCATCAGGGAACTGGCTCTGTAAAAAGCTCGCCTTGAGGTGCGCTATCTGCAACTTGGTCTTCTTGCGGTCGCTAGCTGGGGTGAGCGGGGTGTTGGCCACCTTGGGGGGAGGTTCTGGCACCTGGGCGATGTGTGGACGCTTGGGCTCAGGGGCAGCCTGGGGGGTCACCAGGGGTCTCTTCTGGCCATGGTTGGTCACCCCAGCCACGGCAAGTGTGATGGGGGAGCAAGAGACGGCCGTTGACCCGCTTGTCACTTGAGTCAGTACCAGGCTGGGCTGGCCAAGGATCTGGCACGGCAGAGCTGTCTGGAGGATGGGCTGGGACATTTTTGTGGGGGCCAGCTGAGCAGGAAGCACAGTGATCGTGGGGGGTACTGACTGAATGGTGCCATTAAACATCTTCTTGCGGGCCTCCTCTACCTCCTCTGGGGACCAGCTGATGCCGTGTTTTAAGCGCTGGGTAGCAAACCAGATCCTGATGTGTTCCTCTGGGTGTTTGGAGGCAGCTGTTAGCCAGGAGAGCTCAGCCTGGGTCGGGTAAGGGAACTTGTTGAAGGAATTGATCATGGTGGCATTCGTGTCCAGGGCGGCGTTGTATTTGGTAGTGTTCAGAGGGACGGGGACCTTGGGGACAAGGTTGATATTTGGTGGCAGCTGTACAGAAGGCATGACGTGTCCCAGTGAATCTTGAAGGAGCTCCACACTTCCCAGTCTCGACAGGATCTCGGCTGTGTCTGTCACCAGCCGGGCCGTCCCTTCCATGTGGTTTTCGGGGGCAGCCTCATCAGGCTTCTTGGGCACTTTCTTGGCATCTACCTTCGGTTTTCCTGTCTTTGTCACGGGGATTTTACCCACCGAGACCCCAGGGTCATTGTCACCACTTCCAGGCCCACTGGCAGCGACGGGCGCGGCATGGTTGGCGGTTTCAATGGACTGTTCCAAGACAGTTTGGTTATTGCGTTTGATTAACTTCAGCTTGAAGTTGGTCTCCCCCGGATGGAACTTGGAGTTGTGGTCAGACAAGGAGTCGTACTTTTTGGTTGTGAAGTTACATTCGGCACACACATAGAGGGGGTTGAGGATCACGTTGGGGTGCTGCGTGTCTACGTGTTCTGTGAACTCGTTCAGGTTTTGTGTGGAGTAAGGACAGTATTTGCACTCATAACCACCCTGGAGTTTTTTGGACTGGCTTTCCCCCATAGATTTGACCTCTACCACTTCGTTTTCTTTGGACGAGTTTTCAGGTTCTGTTGCCCAGCTGTCGTTGGCCATGCTGGATGGTGGCATGCCCATCCCTTTGTCTTTGGCCCTGTCTGCCTCCTCTAGGGCTTCTTGTTCTACTACTTGGGATGTCCGCACCATGCACGGGGTTGTAGATTTCCGTTTGCTCGCCATGCTGCCCGCCCGTGAGCGACGACTTCTTTCCGGAGTGGGTAGGGGCAGGCCAGTGAAACTCTTGGCTTCTGGCTTTAGTTCCTCTCAAATGCCTTTGGCTTCCCTTGGATGCTGAAGCTTTCCGTTTCAGAGTTCAGAAACGATTTCAGCACAGAAACCTGTCACTGTACCAATCCCGGAGCATACCAGGCAGCTTCATGTCTGCGGGACAAGAACAAAGCTGGAGTCCGCGACTTTTCACAGTGCAAAAGAAACCAGCACCCCCCCCCCCACCCCCAGACTTGTTCCCATGACCCGCCCCAACCGGCACCAAATCAAACACACATGTAAGCACCGAAGGCGGGTGGGGGGGTTAGAAGCATGAAAGCCGGTGTTCTCTTTTTAACTCTGGGAAGAAAGTGGAAAGGCAGCAAGCAAACAAGGCTGGGGTCTCCGTGTTCAGAGACACAAAGTCCCAGGAAGAGAACAAAGACCCCGGGACCTTCTGAAGTGCAGAGTGGGCTGTGTGGGGTGAGCAAGGTGTTGCGAGTTGCTTTTTATTTATGGAACATCAGAAGCAAGGCACCCAAGTGGGCCCTGCAAATGGGTTTCCATGGCACTAGAAAGGGGGTAAGAAAGTGGGTAATACATACACACACACACACACACACACACACACACACACACGCACACACTCGCGCACACACACGTGCACACACATGCGCGCACGCACACACTCAGGAGGCTGAGATCATGGGCTTTAGTTCAAGGATGGTCTGGGTTATACAATGAGATTCTGTTTTGGAAAAACAACAACAACAACAACAACAACAACAAAAAACAAACTCCCTCAAGCAAACAAACAAAAAACACAGGGAAAAATGGCTATGGACATGTCACTTCTTATCATAAAAACACAAGAGTACAGAAAATGTAGGGAAGGGAGGTGTAAAGGAAATGAAATAATGGAACCACCAACCCAAAACAGTTGCTTTCCTTGTTTCTCTCAAACAGCACCCCCTTTTCCGTTTAAAAGGGCATCCTGATATTACATTATAGGGATGTGACAATGTTTTGTGTGTTTGTGACAGGGTCTCTAGTGTAGTCCAGGCTGGACTTGCCCTTGTTATGTAGCCTAGGATGACCTTTAAGTCTTGGTCCTCTTGCCCCTGCCTCCTGAGTGCTGGGATTACAGGCATGTGCTGCCAAGACAGGCTCACGTTGGGCTGTCAAGAACTACCTTCAGACACAGGCCTAGAAATGGTTCTCTTGATTCACACGGCAGCAATCAGCCTCAATGGCCTTTCCAGCTGTGCCTGAGAAGGTCTGACTCCCATGGATTACACGGAGTACTACACTAAGAGGCCTTGACAGTTAGACAGGGACACTGTTTCACTATACTTCAGTGATTTAGAAAAAGGATTTGTTTTGTGTATACGTATGTGTTTGGGTCGGGTTGTATGTATGGGTGCCTGCAGAGGTCAGAAGAGGGAGCTGGAGTTACAGGCAGTGTAAGCCACCCACTGTGGTGGGTACTTGATGCCAAGCCCTGGGTCTGTAGAATGGCACCAGCGAGTGCTCTTAACTGATGGGCCACCTCTTCCGCCCTTATGCTTTCAAAACAACAATAAAATCCCTCCCCTCCCTCTGTTGCCGTGTGTGTGTGTGTGTGTGTGTGTGTGTGTGTGTGTGTGTGTGTGCAGGTGTGCAATCGCCACTACATGTGTATAGCGACCAGAGGGCAGCCTCAGGTCTCAGTTCTTGACTTCTACTTTGCTTGACACAGGGTCTCTTGTTGACCGATCCATATGACAGGTTAGCTGGTTGAGTTTCTGGGGATTCTCCTGTCTCTGTCTTCTGCCTCTCCATGGGAGCGACAAGGTCATAGACATGTACCACCACGTGCGGACGTATGTGGGCTCTGGGGACCCTGAACACAGCAAGTGTCTTGCCCACTGAGTCATCTCCCTTACCTATGTCTGTGGGTTCGATTACTAGTGAAGCTAGGTTGTCTCCGAAGGCTTCTGACCACTTACAATCTTTCTTTTGTGCCTATTCACGTCACTTTCAGACTGTGGTGCTCAGGTGTTTATTAGTAATTTGTAAAAGCGCCTTATGACACCTGGTGCAAGGTTTAAACTTCTACCTTCTAGCTGTTTTGAGAGTGTCTTTACATGTTTAACATGTAGAAGCCTTACATTTTAGATAGCAAATTTATATTTTTTTTCCTCTTGTGGCTTCTTTCATATTTGGAAATGCCAGTTTGTCTTTTGTTTGTAGGTGAGGTATATTAATCCATGTTTCCTCTTTTTGTATGTAGGTCATTTGCTTAAATCATATTGAGTCCTAGTAATAGACCTATGGTTTCTTCAGAGCCTTTTGGTACAATTTTGTTTGTTTGCTCTTGAGTTTTAGGATAGAGCCTTGTTCCTTAGTCATGGCTAGCCTGGTACTTGCTATGGAGACCAGGCCTGCCCCAAACTTCCAGGAGCCTTCCTTCCCTAGGTTCCTAAGTGCTGGCATTACAGGCGTTACACGACCATGTCCTGTGGGCTTGATGTTTTGGTTTGCGTTTAAGTCACCTAGCGCTGAATCTATCTTGAGTTAAGTACAGCTGTTTTTCCTTGGGCCTCCCTGCTATCTCAGAAGCATGTGTTACCCAACCCATTCCTCGATAGGGTGTAAGAAACCACCCCCACCACACACCACGTTTTACATTTATTACAGCTTGTTCCCAGCTGCCCAGTCTGCACATCTGGTCTGGCTACCGGGGCTTACTGTTAATTTCGTCTTAGCTGTCTGGAGTACACTTAATAACCAGAAGACTGAATGGTTTCTCCTTGTTCCTTCTCCCCCTTCCCCCAGAACGCTTTCTTGATTATTTTGATTATTTCATAAATCATAATCAGTTGCAACATACAATCCTATTAGAATTTTGATAGGAACCACATTAGGCAAATATAAAATTGGGCCACAGGCACCATTTGCTTATTAGGAGGTAGGGCGTGTCACCGGAACTTTAGGGAGCCGCTGGGCTGGGTCACTATTGGCATCTCAGTGCCGTTTACTTTGTGCCTACGTTCAGTGTGGTTTTATATTTAGAACAGAGAAGAGGGCATTTAGGGACAAGGATATCTGACATGTAGGAGACCTGAAGGGGGGGATGGCATATTGGCCTTTGAGTCTCACTTAGGACGGGGCTCCAGGGCAGAAGTGAGGAACGTATGTAAATGGTAACGCTGCGAGTTGCTGGGGCTGGGGTGGGGGCACAGGACTCAGGAGAGGGCGGGTGCCCCAGGACTCAGGAGAGGGCCGGTGCCCCCTGGTGATCCCAAGAGCCCAGTCTCTCTGACATTGGAACACTGGTGTCTTCAGACTGGGGCACTCTAACAACAGTGTGTGTGGGTCCCTCAGGAGTGGCATCAAGGAGAGGCCATGGGAAAAGCAGAACAGCAGGTGACCATGTCCCTGTTGACCAGACTTGCAGCAGACAGGACAGCAGGTGACCACGTCCCTGTTGACCAGACTTGCAGCAGACATGGAGAAGCCGATTTTGCTGAAAACGCCCTGAGTCCTAACTCAGGCTGAGGCGTAACTGAACTCCGCACTCCCCTGCCTCCATTGCGCGTCCGTCTATCTTACTTTGGTTCAGACTCCAGCTTCACTCTGCCAGACATGATCATCATTAAGACATGCCTGCCAATCTGAGCTGTCTCAGCTCCCTTTATGGTTAAGGCACAAAGAGTCATTGTCCTAAAGCCGCAGTCACCTTGGATTCCGGGAGACCATCTTAAGGTGAGAACAATGATCTATGATGGACAGGCTACATGCTGGATAGATTATCCGGAGGGAATTCTGACCATAACAGTGATGAAGAGATGGATTTGTTATTACATCAATGATGGGCGGGACCCCACTTTGACCAAGGCTCCTTAATTACACATTTTTCCCCATTTCTCCCACGATTAAACCTAAAGCTCATGTCAATTCCTAGAAGATGAGCTCGTGCTCACTAGACTCCTTTAATTTTGCTCTTCCCAACGCATCGCTTAAAATTTCTCTCTGCCTTTCCCCACCACTCAGCTCTCCAGTTGGCATATTGGGATGGGTGGCCAAGGCTAGCTTCTTGGAGCCGCTGAACCGAAAGCTTAATTAACTAAGGTCCATTTGTACATGGACACTGGCTGTTTTCCAGCCTCTGTTTCCCTTTGAGTTTCATCTTCTCAAACATGAGCTCCACACATGAACGTTCAAGTCCATCCATGGCTCTACCACTGCCCACTTGGGCCTGGAATTTTTGGCCTTCTCCACACAGCCAAGTCACCAGCAGTCCCGTCAACTCTAGAGTTCCGAGGCCCCCTTTAGCCCCGAGCTAAGCTCCCATCTTCTCTAGCCTGGATTTCTACCGCAGCCACCCACACATCTCCTGCTGGAACAACAGAGGGATTCATGGGTGAAGGTCAGAACTGGTTCTGGGTGGTTTTGCAGCTTCTCAAGTTTCCCATGTGAAGTCCGCTCTTTTGTAACTACAGCCTGCAAGCTTGGGCATGCTGTGGCCCATGTCCCCTCCGACTTGCTGACACACTCCAGCTGTTCTATCAGGAGTGTCACATTCATCGCAGGGCCCCTGTCAGAGCGGTCCACACCCAGAGAGGGATTTCCAGACTGTTAATTCTTTGTAGTGAACCTCATCCCATTACTCCGGGTTTCTTCACTCTGCTTTGCTTTCTTCAAAGCCCTTTCCAATAACTAACATTGTAATGGTCTCTCTTGTGGGTAAGGGCTTAGCTACCCATTTACTTATTGACTGTATATCGCCCTGGATCTGTGTTGTTCAATATGGTAGCCACCAGCCATGTACGGCTCTTTGGGCTTAGTTTAAGTGAGGGGCTGGAGAACCACATGCGGAGTGGTTATCATAATCACCCCCACAAGGCATTTCCACTACTGGGGACAGTCTCGTGGGCGGTGCCATAACCAGCTTGTCCTGCAAGGAGTGAAGATATTCTTGAGATCTTGATGGGGGCTGTCCTTCTGTCTGTATGTTTCTCTTATTGGCTGATGAATAAAACACTGATTGGCCAGTAGACAGGCCGGAAGTATAGGCGGGGCTAGGAGATGAGGAGAAGGCTGGGAAGAGGATGCAGAGAGAGGTCAAGAGAGATGCCATGTAGCAGAGGAAGGAGAAACAGGTCCAGACTCTTCTCTGGTAAGATAAGACC